AGAAGACCTCAGAATATTCAGGACATACTTATTGCTGAACCTTTTCCTTAAAAAGTTACAGATACTGTGAGTTTATCTGAGGTTAAAGGAAAAAAGGTTTGGTCTGATATGCGTGTGTGTGTGTGTGTCCCACCTGTGTGAGGGCGTTGGTCTGCTGCTGTAGGTTCTGTTGAGGGGGTGGTGCCTGCTGCTGGATGGTGAGCTGCTGAGTTCCTGAATGGACGGGGTTAATTGTTGTTTGCTGGACCTGACTGGTCAAAGTAGTTGCTTGTTGGACCGACCCCACCTGGGGGAGCTGCACATTCATTGCTCCACTCTGCTGCTGCAGCAACATCTGTCAGGATTTAACACCAAATGTCAGGCCACAGTGGTCTGTGTGTGTGGGTTTACGCCGCATGCAGTTATTTTTGTATAGTTATTTGCTCTATTTATTATGTGTTTATTGTAATAGCAGAAAATAATAATTTGCTGGGACTCAATTCTCTTTACAGGGTACAGGTTGTGAAATTGCCATTTCCTCTGAACAGAACAAAAATAATACATAATGCATGATTCCAGATCTGATCTAGGTCAGGCAAAGCCACATAGAGAACAACAGGAAAAGACAAAGAACACCGATCTTTTGAAAAAATGTTGCGTGCTAGTTTTGTTCAAATGAGCTGTTCTCCAAATTTGGAAAACATCATGTGGAGAAACCTGAAAGCTACAGCTAAGCTCTTCATCATTAAAAATGAAAGTACTTTTTTCTGAAAAGGTAAGTACATACCTACCTTTTGAAAGGCAATCATTTATTCTGTGAGCAAAATTAACCCTTTCAGTAAAGTAAGTAATAAATATACAATGAGCAACTCGACCTACATTCAACACCTATTTGTATGATACATTTTACACTCTAAACATCTGCTACCTTGACAACCATCATGTGTCAGTCTACATCTTACCTGTATGCCTTGTCCCTGGACTCTCTGCAGCTGCTCTTGGATGTGTCTCAGCTCGTCCTGCTGCCGCTGGATGTTGGCCTGGATCAATCTTGTCCTCTGTTCCAGCTGCTCCTTTAGATGCTGCATAGCATTCACTTGCGCCGAGAACTCCATCACCGGCTGTGGGTGGAGAGAGAAAAATAAATTATGTGATGTCTTCAAATGTCATTTTTTGTCCGACCAATAGTCCAAATCCTAAAAGCTATACAGTTTACAAAAAAAAGAGGAATTAATACCTTTTGAGAACCTGGAACAGATTTTTTGGCATTTTTACTGGAAACATGATTAATTAATCTACTGTCAAAATAAATGGACAAATCTTTTTTCTGTCCTACTCCAAGACACATTATCATGGGATTAAGTGACCCAAGTGTAGCAGCACCATTCTCACCTGTACGTTTGTCTGTAGCTGCTGTGGTTGTTGCTGTTGCTGTTGTTGTTGCTGTTGTTGCTGCTGCTGTTGCTGCTGCTGTTGTTGTTGCTGCTGTTGTTGTTGCTGTTGCTGTTGTTGTTGTTGAGCGATCAAACCTGGTGTTACACTCTGGCCTGTGGTCTGGGAGCTCATAGACTGCAAATATACAGATAATCAAAACATTATGACAACTGAAGGGTCTGAATTTGTTCTGTAACATTTCCTTAACCACGCTGCATTATAAAACAGCAATGAGTGAATAAAGTTCCATCTCTATTTGTTACTTGAGGTCATAAAAATCTGTAAAAACAGGAAGTCCTTCTTTGCTAAGTGTTGGTGTTTTGGCCAATCAAGTCTCACCTGGCTGCTGATGGATGAGCGACGCTGTGATGTCATGTCCACGGTGGAGGCCAGTGACTGCCGAGGGGGGGTGGCCGTGTCCATGTGTAGCTTCGAGGCTGTTGCTGTGGAGACAGAATCACTGATTAGCAAGAGTCATACTCAGACCTTGCTGACGATATGGTATCATCTTACTGCAGGGCTTCCTCATCCCATTAAACTATAGAAGTGATGTGTCACGGCCTCGTCTTTATTATTATAGATTATGTCAGGGTATAACTCCAATTAACATTATGCATATGCATGCATATGAGTGTGTCCTTACAAGTGCAAGTGTTGTCAGAGACATGGGATGAGGACTTGCGGGAGCTGCGTGAGGAGGTTGAGGGTGTTCGGCTGCGGTCAAATCGCTCCAGAGCTTCCTTGAGGCTGGACGTGTTCAGCTGTGATTCTGATTCTGAGTCCTGACTCTAAAAACACAAAAACAGAGGAGAAAAATACACTTGACAGCCAGTCCTACAAAAATTAAAGGCAGAGTGCATACAAGTGAAAATGACATGGCTGATAAATGCAATAAAATGATAAAACCCATAAAATCGGATTTTAGACCAACAACAATATACAGTAAATAAGCAGGAAGTGCTTTAACCTGCTATCCAACCAATACATACTAATAGCTACTACACTGAAAGCCCAAAATGGTCATTTATAACTGAAATATAAACAAATATAACTGAATTATAGTATCTGTTGTTGAATCCCATCCAAAGTTCACTGACCAAAGTGATTGATATAACATCAGAGAACAACAGTCACATTGTCAGAAATATGTCTCTAACAGTGAGGGAAATGTTAATAGACTGGCTCTTAATGAGACTGAATATATTATTTTTAGAAGTTTAATACATTGTCACACAGAGTATTTCAGTCAATCAGTTAATCCAAGCTCAATTACTTGTTAGTTTTGTCTCCTACTCAGGCTTAAACAACAAATCTAAAACTAATTTCTCCTCCATACTTGACATATTGTGATTCCTTTCATTATTAGGATCATGCATTTATGAAAACAGATGAGCATATACCATTTTTAGTTCTCACCTTATCTGCTGTAACTTCTGGGTTGGACTCCTCAATGCCCAGTTCTCTGCGCTGCTCTGCCCTCACCTCTGCATAGCTGCATTTTAAACAAAAAAAGGGGAGGTTTTAAGGACAGCTGGTGAAGAAGAGAGGAGGTGGTGTGCATGAGAGATGTATAGACAGTGTAAGAAAGGCTGAGCCATCAGTAAAAAGATCATAGAAGTGAATATGAGACTTTTACAATGGTCTGTAAATGATGATCAGAGCAAAAAAAAAAAAAAAAATCTGATAAATGTAGCAACAGTAAAGGCTACACAGAAAAAGGAAGATGAGCTGCAGTACCTGACTACTGTGTGTGTGCAGACAATAAATTCAGGCCTAGAGTTCCACTGGTGATAGGTGATGTAGTAGTGCGTCTGAAGCCAGATCCACTGTTGACCTTTAGTCAGGAAACGGTAGTAGCAAGACTTCCCTTTACCGTACTGCATCACTGAGCAAGAGAGAGACAGATGCAGACAAGAGCAGAGATGTTAGAAACAACAAGAAAGGCTTTTTACATCTGAACTGAAAGTGTTTAAATGCGAGCCCTCACAGTGTTCGTGACACTTGGCGAGTGTCTCCAGGTCGTCCACATGGTAATAGTCGTACCCTGATGTCCCCAGAACCTCGAAAGGCAGGTACCCGATGATTGGTGGAGCTCTGAAAAGAAGAAATTGCATCAGACATAAAAAAAAAAGAGGTTCTGAAGCTATTTGACCACCCTACAAGCTCTGACAGTGTATACTGGCAGCGTAAGGAAGAATTAACAATTAAGTTTGTGTGTTTACCTGTGGTCTAAAAAGAGGAACTTCCATTCTAGACTGTGCCTAGAGGTGAATTCTTCATTTGGCTCCTCTACTGTACACATCTCCTGTGAATAGAAAAACAAAAACAGCAGAAGAGAGAAGTTGTATTAGATGAAATGATTAATTATTGACTCAGCGGGATTTTATTTGGATGTGTGTTAGTGTCTGAAAATACCTTAATAAATTGAGGTTTGGCCAGTCGAACAGTGGCTACAAAGCACACCTGGTCATCGAACGCAGGCTGTAGTGACCGCTGTAACACTCCTGCTAGCCCGTTCCTCGTCATGTTGGGAACTACACAACACAGAGAATTGAGACGGTTGGTTACTCTGTGAGTCAAAGAATATACAGTGTGGTTCTGTGTGGCTGCTTGTGTGACTGATGACACTGAAATATATGTGCATTGTCCAATTTCCTGATTGAGATTGCTATTTCAGTGACATACCATTGCTGAGTGACTTGAAGTTGCCAATGAATTTAACATATTCGTAGACAGGGGGTTCTTTGGGGTCGATGGCCCCTCGCAGCATATGGCAGCAGAACTCCATGTGGTTCTTAGCTGGAGAGAAAAATAAAAATACAAGTTAGACCAAATGTCAAAAATACAGTTGTTGTGGCATCCAGTAAAAACCCTGTTCGTGTTTCACAAAAGAGTGATAATAATGTCCAACCATGATGCAAAAAATAAGCCGGTATATTTAGACTTCTTGTGCTGCTGCACTAAGAATTATTTCTGGCTTTTTGTTTAGCTATTCTGGTCTGAGACAATGGCTCAGGGCTATGATTATTTTGTATCCACCAAATTGGTTCCCAACGGACAAAAGATGAACAGGGTAGGATTTATACTAAGCTAACAAAATTAGCCGAAGAGCTATGAAAACTT